CCCCACACTGGGGCCTTCGGTGGAGCTTCCTATGGGACCACGAAACGCTGTCCTGGGCGTGGGGGACGCAGGTGGCACCCCCCTCTGGAGCTTTCGGTGGAGCTCCCTATGAGGCCACGAAACTCTGTCCTGGGCGTGGGGGACGCATGTGCCCCCCCCCCCACGGGGGCCTTCGGTGGAGCTCCCTCTGGGGCCACGAAACGCTGTCCTGGGCGTGGGGGAGCATGTGGCCCCCCCCACTGGGGCCTTCGGTGGAGTCCTTATGGGCACGAAACGCGGTCTTGGGCGTGGGGACGCATGTGCCCCCCCCCCTCCCCCACTGGGCCTTCGGTGGAGGTCCCTATGGGGCCACGAAACGCTGCCGGAGAGGAGGAGGAGGAGGGGGAGGAGGAGGCGGAGGAGGAGGAGGAGGGGAGGAGGAGGGAGGGGGAGGAGCAGGAGGAGGGGAGCGAGGAGGAAGCGAGGAGGGGAGGGGGGGAGGAGGAGGAGGAGGATGAGGAGGAGCAGGAGGAGGAGGACGAGGAGCAGGAGGAGGAGGAGAAGAAGAGGGAGGAGGAGGAGGAGGAGGAGGAGGAGGAGGAGGAGGAGGAGGAGGGGATAGGAGGAGGGGGAGGAGCACGGAGGAGCAGGAGCAGGGAGCCGGAGGAGGAGCAGGAGGAGGAGGAGAGGAGGAGGATGAGGAGGAGGAGACGAGGAGGAGGAGGAGGAGGAGGGGGAGGGGGAGAGAGGGGGAGGGGCAGGGGGAGGGGGCGGCGGGGAGGAGGAGGAGGAGGGGGAGGGGAGGAGGAGGAGAGAAGGAGGAGGAGGAGGAGGAGAGAGGAGGAGGAGGGAGGAGGGGGGAGGGGGGGAAGGGGAGGAGGAGGAGGAGGAGGAGGAGGAGGAGGAGGAGTAGGAGGAAGAGGAGGAGGAGTGGAGGAGGAGGAGGAGGAGGAGGAGAAGGAGAAGGAGGGGGAGGAGCAGGAGGAGGAGGAGGAGGAGGAAGGGAAGGAGGAGGAGGAGGAGGAGGAGGAGGAGGAGGAGGAGGAGGAAGGGGAGGAGGGGGAGGGGGAGGAGGAGGAGGAGGACCCCCTCCCTCTCCAACTTATGGCTGTGGTGGTGCAAGACAGGCCCATCATCGCTCGTACGCGCGCGCACTCAGACAGCCGACGGCGTAAGCCTTTGAACGCGCGGCCCCCTGGGGGGTCCGGACCCCTCCCTCGGGGCCGGCTTCCCGCCCTGGATCCGCCCGGCACCAGGCTCGAACAAAGAAGTCGCGCACCCTCGGACAGAACGTTTCGAGGACGAGCAGCGCTACCGACAGTCGATGAACAATGCCAGGAGTGCAAAAACATCGAATCGTGGGAGACCTGGGCGGCCGACTCGCAACTCGGACCCCTGGAGATCTGGACCCCTTCCCCGGGACCGGATTCGTCCCCCCAAGTCGTTTGCTGACGGTCCCGGGACCCGGTGATGGCCCTCGGAAGCCGAAAATAGCCAAAAACCTCCCGTCGCGATTTTTTCCCAACGAGAGGAAATGGGTCTGAACGCACGAGATGGGTACGGACGGAATAGGCACTGCTCAAGCACAAATGTTGTCCCGACCCAACAGGGGCCGCTCTTGGGCAGGCGGCCTTCTGCCTCAAATGGACAACGTCCGCGGCGACACCGACAGCAAGTCCGGTTCAAAATGGACCAGAAATGCTCTCGGTCATCGTACCCATTCCTTCCGTACCCATTTCAATCGTCTCGAGTGCGGCTACACGCAAGAGTGACCCTAGGCAGGAGTGACCTTTGGTGCGCGGCTTCACTAGACACAAGCAGGACACCGCTTCAGAGGGCCGCGGGAAAGCCAAATCCAAGCGCGCCAGCCACTGTAAGGGGGATCCCCATGGGCCCACACCAGAGGCCACTCTGGCGAAGGGCCACTCCTACGACGAACGAACAACAGGCACCCATACCCATAGGAGGGTCGGAGGGAGAAGGACTGGCTGTGAGCATCAGTGCGGGTTGCCGGACCCTGGGGGAGGCCTCCGTTCGAGCGAGGACCCCCCTCCGACAGCACGCACTCGAGGCCCCGTCCGTCCCCCCCCCCCTGTGGGCATGGGTGTGCGCTGCTCGACCGCCGCTCCTGCACGTAGCCGACGCGTGGCAGAACATGTGGCGAGGGCGCCTCACTTCGCGCTTCGCGCTGCGCGAGGAGCGCGCAGCGCGACCAACCTCGCGCTCTCGCGCCGCCCCCGCGGGGAGAAGGGGAAGACGAGGAGGAATCGGAGCCGAACCGCGAAGCGCGAAGAGCCTCGCGCCCCCCGAGGGCGCCCCTCCTCGGAGGCGCGAGAAGGCGCGCGCTGCCCCCCGCCCCGGGCGCGCGGCCCGCGGGCGGATCGCGACTGTGAGGCCTGTCGCGGAGTGGCTCCGAGAGTGCGGTGGGAAGGGTGTCAGAGAAGTAGGGCGAAGAGGAGGAGGAGGAGGAGGAGGAGGAGGAGGCGAAGGAGGAGAAGAAGGAGAAGAAGGAGGAGGAGGA